ATAAAACATAATAATAAAATATCTAGGAATGTAATGTAGTCCAAACTTCAAATAATCGTATTAACAACAAAATATATGTATTCGGGGAGCGTCCCACTACCCCTCAGAGCTTTTTCATTTATAAATCGGTCACAAAGTATAATTTGGACTTATTCGACTCGGACTACTTCCTAGTCTAGCCAACACTATACCCGATCCTATCAATTACTTTCCTGGCCACGTCCCGTGGACTTTACTATAGCTAAGAATAGCTCCCAGCTACAAAAGTACTTAATCCCTAAGCACTAAAAAGTGTTTGTAAAAGAAAAAGAAACAAAACAAACTCAGTTCGTCAGCAATGTAAGAACGCTGAAGTGCTGTGACGAACAAAATAAAAATAATAAAAATCTCTCAAACACTCAATTGAATCTGATGAATGATAAACTCGATTATTGCAGCAGCACTCTTCAATTGATTGCTTGAGTAGGCTTATATACAATCTCCTTAAGGTAAGGAGTCTTCACAAGGTTCTCCTTTTCATTTTTTGAAGTCAAAATCCTTCTCAATTGATTCCATTCAGATCATGGGCGTAATCCTTCATGTAAAGTATGTTTCCTTGATGTAGAATTCGTGTATGTGATTTGGAGATCTTCAGAATTGATCCAATGGAAATCTCGTGTTTCCAGACTCGAGTAAGAACATAACTTTCCTGAAAAATCCGATGTTCCAAATCTTCAAAGATCTTGTGGATAATATTTTCAAAATCCTCCTTAGATCTTCTCATGAACGCCCAGAACTCCTTATACACGAATTGTTCATCCTTTGATAGTCCTTGCCACTTATTCCTTGTCCTACAAGAAAAAGAAAACTAATTATGGCATGTGGTATATATGGTAAGTAAATATATAAGATATATATTATGTAATCCTTCTCCTAAAGGATTTTTTTTTTTTTTTTTTTTTTTTTTTTTTTTTTTTTTTTTTTTTGTCCAACGATAGATCTCATTAAGAAGAAAAACCAGGTTACACATTACAAACGGGGCAACCCCGAAACCGCAAGAGACTGAGAGCAACACTTAGGAAGTGTGCTAGAACAACCAACCACAATCATAAGCTAGAAGCTAGATAAATGCTAGAAACTCCTAACTTAGAAACCTCCAAACCGACCCAATACCAAACAACAACTAACTAAACAAGACACCAACTAGCAACTAACACACATCAAAGGACATGAAAAAGACAGCTACAAAGAACCCAAAATAAGCAGAAAAACACCAACAACTAAAAAAGCTAGCAGAAACCTTCTCAGACTGAGGGACATTTCTATGGAGCTGCTACTGCATTGAATTCTTGCCATTCCAAAATAGCCCTTTGATGATGACTTTGGTTGGTATGAGTTCCTGGTTGAAGAGCCATAAGTTCCTAGATCTCCAAAGCCACTATAGTATATAGGTTGATAGCTGAATCCTGGCTTCAGAGATCTCTGACTTCCTTATGGAGCACACTTGCCACCACCAACTTCTGAAACTGCAGTTCTCAATGGAAGCCATCCCCATACAGAGGTGACTGTTTCCACACTTGTTGGGCTCTGGTGCAGCTGAGCAGGGTATGATCATTAGTTTCAGCGGCCTCTCCACAATGTCTGCAAATAGGATCAATTTCAAGGCATTTTTTCCTGAGATTCTCACCAACTGGGAGTGTTCCTATGAAGCATTTCCACATGAAGTGCTTGAGCTTGCTTTTGACCTTAAGTTTCCAGCTTCTTAGTCTCACAGAGACATCAAATTTTCCAGTGTTGCTGCTTTTAAACAGGTCTAAAGTTCTCAACTTCAGATCAATTAAGTGAGAACATAAAGCAGCCACAGAAAAACTACCTTTGGAATCAAACCTCCATCTCCATCTGTCTTTTAGGCCTGGTGAAAGGGATTTGATTTACAAAATTGCCTGGTCATCTTCAGCTGCAAACATCTCTTTGATTAGGTCCACATTCCAGCCACTGCCACTGTTAATCATCAGATCCTTGACAAGTGTTAGGTTATGCCCTTCTGCAGTTCTTTGTGGAGGAAGAACTCCCAATCTAGGGACTCAGCCATGGTATTGTATCTTTGTTTCTTGTCCACTTCTGATTTCTTTCCAAATTCCTTGTTTAAAAGTAGGAAGTAGAGCTAGCCAGTTATTCCACATCCAGGATGCAGAGGGTTTCTTTTTTGCTTCAAAAATGGATGATTTTGGGAAGTAATTGGCTTGCAGCAGTTTGCTAACCAAAAGTTGGGGATTTTTGGTGATCCTCCAGAGTTGCTTGAGAATGAGAGACTTGTTGAAGAGACTGAAATCTTGAAAGCCTAAACCACCATTCTGTTTGCGAATAGAAAGTAGTTTCCAGCTTTTCCAGTGTAGTCTTTTTTTCATTTCTTTGCCCTTGCTCCACCAGAAATGGGATCTTAGCTAGATCCTTGCATGTACCAGCTGGTAACATGAAGCAGGACATTGCATAGACATGTAAGGAGTTAAGGACAACCTTTATGAGGATCTCTTTTCCTGCAGTGGAGAGGTACTTGTTTTTCTAGTTTACCAGTCTCTTTCTTGCTGTTTGCAACACATAGTCAAAGGCTTCCTTCTTGGACCTTCCTATCCCCATAGGAAGTCCAAGGTACCTAGTTGATGAGTGAGGGGTGATGCCTTCGAGGATGTGACAGATGCTCCCTTTGGTGTTGTTATCGGTGTTCTTGCTAAAGAAGATAGTGGATTTAGACATGTTGACACTTTGCCCTGAGAAGAGGTGGTATTTTCTGAGAATATCCCTGAGGTGCAATGCCTGGTCAGAAGTGGCTTTGCAGAACACCAATGAGTCATCTGTAAAGAGCAGATGGGAGAGGGTAGGGCCATCTCTTGCAGTTCTTAATCCTTTGAAAGTACCCACAGCAATAGCAGAGTGAATGAGAGCAGAGAAAGCCTGTGCGACAATGAGGAATAAGTAGGGGGATAGGGGATCCCCCTGCCTTAATCCCCTTGAAGGTTTTAGGTAGCCCACAGGTTCTCCATTTACCATGAAAGAGAATGAGGTGGTTGTGATGCAAGCAAATATCCACTTGATGAATGAAGAGTCAAATCCCATTTTTAACATGATATCTCTGATACAACTCCATTCCACTCGGTCAAATGCTTTCAGCATGTCTAACTTCAGTGCCATAAAGCAATGAGGCCCTGTTCTGTGCCTGTTAAGGTAGTCGAAGGCCTCCTGAGCAATGATTATGTTATCCAAAATGTTCCTCCCTGAAAGGAAAGCTCCTTGAGCTTGACTGATGCAGGAGTTTAAGCATTCTTTTAATCTAGTTGCCAGGACCTTAGAAATCATCTTGTAGACCACCCCATACAGACTTATGGGTCTGAACTGAGTGATTGAAGTGGGGTTCAGACATTTAGGCACCAAAGTAACTAGGGTGTGATTCCAGTACCTTAGGATTTGACTAGAGGAAAAAAAAGCTGTAAACTGTTGGACAAAGGTCTTCTTTGACAATGGGCCAGAAGTGTTGGAAGAATAATGATGTCATTCCATCCTCTCTAGGAGCCTTTAGAGGATTCATAGAGAATAGAGCCTTTTGGATTTCAGCTTCTGAAATAGGTGTGAGTAGGGCTTCATTCATGTCTGCTGAGATTGAATGGGGGATGTGCTGAGTAATGTCTGACGAACCTTGTGAGCCCCTGATGTAAAAAGATGTTGATAGTAGCTGGAATTTTCTTTGGCTATCTCCTCCTAGGTGTCACAGACTCTGTTGTCAGCAGTAATAAGTCTAGAGATTGCATTTCTTTTTCTTCTTTGCATAGCATATGCATGAAAAAAGCTAGTGTTTTGATCTCCATCTCTCAGCCATAGCACGCTTGACTTCTGCTGCCAATATAGTTCTTCTGTGGTTTGAGTCTGTTCTAGCTCCTTTCTAATAGTTTCCCATTCTTCTCAGTTTTTTCCTTCACCCATTTGTCTCATATCTTCCAACTTCAATGTAAGAGACTCCATTTTCTGCTTCTGCTCTGATCTGAAGAATTTGCTCCATTTAGAGAGAGCTAGTCTAGTTTGCTTAATTTGTTCTTCGAGCCTGAAGAAGGGTGTGCTTGTTGAGGGATAGACCATGCATTTTGCACCTGTTCCTTACAACCTGCCCTTTGGAGCCACCTTTTGTCAAAGGTGAATCTTCTGGGTTTCTTGACTGTATGGACTTTGTCATCTAACAAAAGAACTCCATGGTCAGAAGCACTTCTGTAAAGGTTGGCAATCTGAGCTTGTGGGAATTTAGACATCCAAAAAAGAGAACCAAAGCCTCTGTCAAGCGTTTTCTTCAACATAGCCTTCTTGGTCTCTATTGTTACCCCCAAGTGTAGTGATAGCCTGTCATTGGGATTTCATCCATCCCCATTGAAGAGATGAAGCTATTGAATGCAAGGAAGCTGTTAGCAGGTCTCAGCTTGCCTCCTCTTTTATCCTCTTGAGCTGTGATGTCATTCCAATCCCCTAAGATAGTCCAGTAGTCACCCCAATCATGCTTATCCTGCTCTAGCAGCCTCCATTGGTTAGTTCTGATGGTTTTGTCTGTGTTCATGTAGACAAAGGAGATCCAACAGGGTAATTCAGATTGGATCATTGAGAATTGGACTCGGATGCAAAATTTTGTGCTTCTGATATTCAAAATCTGGGGATCAGAGTCCCATAACAGCAAAAGCCCACCTTTGGTGCCCAAAGGTTCCACAAAATAATTTATGTCCTCAAACCTAGTTTTCTGCATACCTCCATAGAGATTTTTTTTGTTTTTTAATTTCAAACAGGAAAATAAAGTTTGGATGGTGAGATTGAATAATCTCTCTTATCTGGGATACTGTAGAGGGCCCACCAGACCTCTACAGTTCCACACCATAGCTTCCATTGGGGGGTTGGGGCCAATTATGGCTGGCTGCCTCCACCTTGTCCTTTGAAAGTTTTTGTTTTTTGAATGTCATCTGCTTAGCCTCATGTACTATAATAGTTGTTTTTTAGCTCTCTTCTTTGGTGATCTTGTTGTGCTTGGGAGAAGGAATGACTTGTGTTGTTTCACTTTCTCTGGCCAGTCTGCAAACTTTTGAAGCTGCTCTCTTCCATGTCTTCCCTTGGACTGGTTTGATAGTCAAGGCAGGAGGTGCATAACCCTTTTCTATCTGCATGGCCATATCTCCTTCCCTGGGTACAGCTTGGACCTCTAAGGGTGGTTGGGTGCTGGAGTTGCTTTCCTGAATAGTGTGCATCACTGCTACTAATTCTTTACCTTTAGAAGACTGGTTAGATATGTGAAAGGAAGCTGATGACTCTTCAATCCCTTATGAGTTAGGTTCACGAACATTGTTGAGTTTTTGCAAAAGGAGGTTAATGTTGTTAGCTTCTGGGCCCTGGGAGTGTTGCTGTGGAAAGGAATCATTTTTGCCTTCAGTTGAGGTGCTATGGATATTGTTTCCTTCTTCCTGCGGTTGGGAGTATGTGCTAATTGTTGGAGAACTAGATATAATTGTACCTTCTAAAGCCTTCATCCATTCACCAAATAAACCTTCATTGAGAGAATTTGTAGCAAAGTCTTCCTCCTTATTTTAGGAACTTATTTAAATCACAAGTAAATAAATAGAAAACTTCCTTTTAATTTATTTTGCTTGCTTAACAAGAAATCTTCTAGAAAACACTTAGGTTTGTTGGACGATGTCAAACTGATATTCTTACAAGTATGATGCGATATTTGTCAACAGTTGATTTGTAAATGTGCTCTCCAATTGATAATGATGAAGGACATAAACTTGTCCATCCTTGTGCTCGTCAATGAACTTGGGTATGTGAACAGGCCTTATGAGACAAGTTATCTACCCACCCTTAAAAAAACGAATTATAATGCATCACATGAAAAAAAATTAATAATAGAAAGAAGTGACGAACCTCACTATCATGCAAAATTAACTCAATCACATTTTGTAAGAAATATTCTCGGACGATCTTTGAAACATGCAAATTATACGAAGCTTGAGCAGTAGCGTATTGGATCTCTTGATATTTCTAAATTGTGTTTCGTAAATAGAGTGTGTTGAATGCAATAATCATTGTTTACATTGGTCTTCTGAAATTGATTTATGTTTCATTTGTTAATTAGATCAATGCAAATATTTTTGGATATTTAGTTTATGTTTTTAATATTACATATCTAATTTTTTATTGGTAAGATTAAAAAAAAAAATTCAATTTCTCCGATTATTAATTAGGAATGATAATCGTGCAAATTGATTTTAATTTCTTAGGACATTTTTTTAGAATTTTAATAAGATTACAATCAATTTTAGTTTTAATAAAAAAAAAAACAAAAAACTTAAATTGTGCTACCTTATGGAATCAAATTTTATCATTTATAATATAAAATAAGAATCATAATCTAATATTTTTGTGCAAATGAAAATTATTTTCCTAACTGTAGTAGACGTTTTTTTAAGAATTTTATTTTTTTCAAATTACTATCAATATGAGTTTCAATATCTTCAAATTATGCTTATTTTAGGATTATTACATATCCGGTATTTAGTTGGTAAAGATTATAAAAAAATTTCAATTGTCTGATTGTTAATTAGGTATGAAAATCGTGCAAATGAGTATTACTAAATCTAGGATACTATTTTAGAATTTTAATAATGTTAATGATTATCAATTAGAGTTTAAAAAAACTTAAATTGTGCTACTTCATGGAATTATATTTTAGCATTTATTTGACAATAAAAAATAAAATCTAATATATTATATGCAAATAAAATTTACTTTCCTTACTATAGTAGATTAAATTGTGCTATCTTATAGATCTGAATGATAATTAGATTTTAAAATTGGTTTTAATTATGATTATGAACCAAAAATGACCAAAAAAAAAAAAATCATACAAATTTTCTTATGAGTAGTTGTATTTTATTATTGACAAAATCGTAATTATAATTGGTAATGACGCCCCTAATCTTAGTAGAACCAAAAACCGCAACTCACGCCTAACTAGAGCCAACACCCACGAACTCGAACTCACGCCAAGGCGACCAACTCCACCCCTTAGCCGAGAGAAGAAACCGGACAAGAAAAGAAAGAAAGAAAGAAAGAAAGAAAGAAAAATGCGACTCGAGAATAAAGTCATTGCAACAGAAGAAAAATCGAACCAAGTAACGATGCCGAAGCAGTTCAACAGGAGGCCAAAAGGACCGTACACAGCAGCACACGATTCACACAAGCGGCAAAACATGACAAACAATTTACTGTTCGAAAAAAAAAAAAAAATAAGGAACTCATATATACATATTTCAGTCATATTGATGAGCTCTCAGAAAAGAGGGAACAGGTCCACAGCCTGATTAGCATCACGGATCTCGAGGATAATCAACTTGCGCGTCCTAAGATCATAAAGCAGTAGGCCGCCCTTGGAGTCCATAAGAAGCAGTTTACGCACCCCCACGAGGCCCACCACTACAGCATCAACATCGGCAGGGATAGCATGTGTGCCCTCGTTTGACCAGCTTCCGTCTTTCCACACCCAAATCTCGAAACGAAAAGCCTTGTACTTTTCAACGGCACCAATACCACTGCTATTTAGCTTATGACCGAAAGCAATAACAGCCAGCGACCCACATAAGTCACCAAGAGCAACAGTGCACACGTTGTTGATCTTATTGCTATCAGGCATCGGAATGAGATCAGGGGAGAACTTCTCATTTGCAAAGTTAAATGAAAGAAGAGCAAGTCTACCTGAAGCCGCATCCTCAGCCACCCAATAACAAATTCCATTTATATGACGACAAGGTTGTTGGTAGGTGGGCATCAGGGAATCATGAGGATACGGGATTTCCTTCCACACGCCAGTTTCGAGCGACAAGAGCTCGGCCTGGACTTTCCTTCGAGATTCATCCCCAAACTTAAACGCACGAGTCCTCACCACCTTATTGCACCCAGATGCAGGGTCCACACCCATGCCGTAAAGCTGAATGCGAGAACCAATCGGGGAAGGAAAGGGTGGCTGAGAGCAAAAAGGCGGAAGGGTTTTGATCTCATCGTTGATAGGGTTCCACAGAAACACCGCATCATCCATTTCAGGACTTTTTCCACATGACGACATCAACATCCATGCTTTGCAACCAGTAAGAGCATGATAATCGGGCTCGGGAGCACAGTTTTGAGCTACGAGTAGAGACGACAAGCTGGAAAAATTATCTTTTAGTACTGGCTTGAACACACTGAATTTGGTATAGATTACCGAGTAATAGCGGGATCCGTTGCGCAGGTGCTGCACCATGAGCATGAGCTCGTTCATCTCGTCGAGCCACAAACTGAGGTCAAGCGTCGACATGCGCGACGGACGAGTATTGCCGGAGCTGGCAGAGGCGGGACCAGGAAGAGATAAGTTACTCGACGACGAAACAGTATCACCCGGGGCAGCGGGACCAGGAAGAGATAAGTTACTAGACCACGAAATAATATCACCCGGGGCAGCAGAGGCCGCAGGACCAGGATAAAAGTTCCAGGACGAAAAATATGCCGACAAGGATTTGGTGGTGAATTTCGCAAAGTTGCCCACTTGATTGGGGATGGCCGATAGGAAAGCCATGTTAGGAGACCAGCCTTTGAAAACCCCAGGTCCCCCACCATGCACACTTTTGGGCGAAATTCTGTTCAAATATCATCCACAAAGCTGTCAAAGAAATAATGCTTGACTCGAAACATAAGGGGAAAAAAATAAATAAATAAAAAAATTTACATACCTTTTAAGAACTTCCACATGAGAACCTTTTGCATCCGCTGGAAGATTCAGCTTTATCATCTAGGAATATATAAGTACGAATCAACATCACAACTAGAAACATATTAACAGTGACATTAACTATACTTCATAAACAACAATACGTGAATGAAGCGCATACTCAAATTAGAATTTTATTCTTCAAACCTGTGAGTCTCCATAGCTTGAGCATATAAAGACCACATCATTATCAAGATATGATATGGACGATGCGATACACGTTTTCCCCAATAGCTCAATCTTCAGTCCAGTTACTCTAGCACATCACAAATAGGAAAACCATTTAGACATTTCAAACAAGCTGCATATAAGCCTTAAACTTGTGAAATGACAAATCGGAAAACAGCAAACCTACTTCTCCCTATCATGAGTTATAACAAGTAAATGCAAAAGCCCCTTATGATCCCCTAGCAAGTAGCGTGAACCATCAGCATCAACCCTCCCATAAGCTTTTGTAATAGACTTCACGGACAAAACACAAAATAAGACCGGTATCATGATCAGAATGAGCTCGCACAGAACTAGCAGGAGTTCTAAGTAACTTACACGCCTGATTCCGATTGCTTTAAAAGCAGAGGCACTGCAATAAACGATAGTCTCCTCACCAATAATTAGGACACCGCAAAGAGGAGGCGGAACTGGGATTAACAATTCTGCCCCATTATCAAGACTATTCTGAGACCACGGACCCTCAGCAAAACATTCATCCTTCAAAGCAACTTCGTAAGTTTTCATATGACGTACATCTTCGGCATCCTGTCAGTCAACACAGGAAGAAGATGGTAACAACAGAAGGAACAACAATACCAAGAACAACCACTAAAATAAGCAAGTATGTTCCTGTAAATAATATATAAACTCCAAGAGACTCAACTAGTTTTGTCAAAGGCATCATACATGGAAAGCATATACTAGATTATATAAACCATACTAAAGAAATGTAGCTGAGCAACCATCACCCATAAAAGGCTTGCCAAGAGATATATCATGAACGATAAAATAAAGCCCACCAATACAAACACATAAAGGTCATGTTACACAAACAAGCCTAGCCTAGTCATGACCAGTGATCACACTAATGAAAATAGGATACACGCTTCAAGCAACTCACATAGAGTACACCAATGAGTCCTATTTCAACAAAAATACCTCACACACTTCAAATTCTAGGGATAATTGCAATAGTAAATCAAAACCTGGTAAAGCACAACAATAGTTGGCCTGGGGCAACCATACAAAAACTTAATATCCAAAACCCGAAGCTCCTCAAACCTGAAGACACAACAAATTAACTAATGTAGGTTAGTGAAGCAACAAATCAGCTACTGTGAGTTATAGAGGATATCAGGAGCCCACTTCACGATAAAACAGATAATATTACAAGGTGCTCTCATCTGTGCAGTAAAACTCTGAAATATAAATATAACTAAGCACTATAATTCTATATATCTAGACATTGCAAACTGATTAGAATAAAAAAGAATTTTATATCAGGAGAAAACAAAGGAAAGGCAAACTTGTAATACATACTTTCTTTACTCAATATAAGAAAAGTAGATCAGGACTTCAAGTTCAAATACATAAAAGATCCAGAGGTATACGGATACCAAGAGGTACACCAGCCAATAAACGATGTATGCGTTACAGAATCAATTATTCATCAGAAAAAGAATGCACTTTACTTCCAGCAAGGTGGATTACTAGGGATTGTCGAGCGGGAAAAGTACCTAATGTCAAATGCTTCCATGAACTTGCCTTTGTTATCAAATGGAATGACCTGAGAACATGAAATATTATGCTCATAAGCGTTTTTTTTTTCTCCCTTTTTTTTCTTTTTGGGGGGGGGCAGGGCGAAGGAGACGATTGTTGCGGCTAGAGAGAGAAGTATCTCCATGGGGAAAATACCTTGAATATTCCATCATATAGATGAAGTCCAATCAATCTACAATCTGGGTCAACTATGCCGATCTATGTGGAGAGTACGAAGTATGTCAAAGACTAGATACATTTACAAAATAAACACTTGAAAGTTCCAAGTACACACTAACTTACCTTTCTATTTTCTGCGGGGATACCAATTTGATATGAAACATCCGCCATTGCCCTATTTCAATGGTGGAAACCACCCCAACAAAACAAAACAGGATAAAGCCATTTTTAATAATGTAGAACTAAATAGTGAAACCAAAACAGATGATAACGATCAATATATTATAATATAAAGGCTAGTCCTAGAATTGTTAATGTTGGAAACCACTTGGAAATTCAACGCAACCATAAGATACCATGGACGAGTTTATAGATGTATGAAAACATGAACGACAACAATCCAGTAGAACAACTTGGCTTTCTAAGATGTAATCATCCAAAAAATTCAATAAACAAGTATCACCTTGTAATAAACTCCGCATTCTCGGCATCCCATTGCAAAACACTGAACTGGTATGCTTCCTTAACCATGATAAGGTGATCTTGAGTTTCCCCCTGTTATGTCATTCAATGATCAAGACGCATTTGTTTTTTCTCCATTGGATAAGGCATACGAAGACAAAAATAATCATTCTTTATGTGGAAATGGGGGAAAAAAAGGTTTCAGGAATCAATTTGGAAACTCACATGTGGGCGAAAAAGCTCAAGTATGGCAATTCTACCATATATTGGCATATCCAACATAAGCTGCAAATTATACCATTAGTTAGAAATATGTTTCCAAATAAGTCATCACAACAGAATTCCAGGTGGAAACTCAAGTATCATGATAGGCTGGCTAGACTGCCTCAGTTCACCCCTCAAGACTTGCAGGACTCTCATCCCAAACTAAACATAAAACAGTAGTTATTTATAGCTGCAGCAATTAATTTCCAATACTTCAGAGCAAAAACCGTAATGAAATGTGAACCCCATGTAGAAGTTGAGGGAAGCTAATGGTGTGCAAAAGGCATCAAGTTCTCAAAATCGATTCGGTGAATTACAACAGCCAAGTAAGCCGACTTCATAATGAAATGTCTAATCTAACAGTGAGTACTTCACCTGTAAACCTTGAGACGACAGCAAATGAATCTCTATTCTGGTGCATTTCCTGTAAATTCATAACAATCACTGGATATCAGCTATATTTCAAACTTAGCATATTGAATCAATGGGCACTCGTACATCACAACACGAATTCCAGTGAACGAGAACTCCATAGTCATTTATAGGCACAAATTAAATCCACAATAGTACAGATATGGAAAACCTACGCAACGATGAGATTGAGCTCGTTCGGGGCAGTGAAATTGCCGACACAAGAGTGAGTAACGTTCGTCGGCGCCGTCAACACATAATCCCATATACCCATTTTTCTTCTACTGTGTTATGGACAGGGCCAAGAAAAGGGGATTCTTGGGGGTATGGGAGGAAGGGACGAAGCTTTGCCGGAAAAGACGGAAATTGTAGAGGGAGGAGTCGCCGAAAAGGGGCAGGTCGAGGGAGATGAAGAGATTGAACGGGGGAATAAAGAAAAATGGAAACCCTGTTCCAATTAACCAATTTATTAAAGGGACCATAAAAAAGATACCTGACACTTTGGGTTGAATTAAAGAGATGACCACAGGTTGGACCTTTTTATTTAGAGAAATTTTCACGTATCCTACGTGATTTTAATTTATTTACAATTCTACCATATTTATATTAATAATTGTGTCTTTACTTAAATTACCTTATTTATCTGTATTAATGCCTAAATCATTTACTATATCCTTTCAACTTTTATCCCACCTTTTATGGAATTAATTAGGATCCCATAATTCTGTGACCTTCCTCGGCAAGAAGTTCCCAAAAATATTCCTGTTCAAAATTCCTCAGCACGAAATTCCTCAGCAAAGCAGTTCGAGCCCTCTGCGACGAGACCTCTGCGACGAGCCCTCAGCACGAAATTCCTCCGCGTGGACCTGCGAAATTCGATCAGAACCAGTCGCGAGCCCTCTGCGACGAGACCCCAGCAACGCCACGACCCGCTCTCCTCCCACGCCGTGAGTCGCTGCCCAGCGCCGCCTCCATCTCGCGAAGAATTCCGGCGACCCTTGTTCACGCGTGAATTGCGGCTTCCGGCGAACCCCTCACGACCAGACGCCGCGACCAGCCTCTTCCTCCGGCGATTAGGACCGCCGCGAGCAGACCCCGCGAGCCGTCGTACCTTTAATAACAAATATTTAATATGTCGAGCAGGTATAGGAAGTTTGGCCATTGAATCTTGATTTGGGGAAAGTTTCTTGAGCAGGTTTTGTTGCAGAGTGGAAGGAGATTGAAAAAAAAAAGGTTGGAGACGGTCCCCTTTTTTGTGGTTGACTTATTTGTTCCCTTATTTTTTGTTAAGTGTATCTTTAATTCTCCTAAAATCTCTCATTAGCATTTAAAGCCTTGATAACGGTTCTTGTAGCATGTTAGGTACAATTGAAAATTTTCTTTGTCATTTATGTAATTTTACAAATAAAAATATAAGGGGTTCAAAAGTGATATTAAAATGAATTCTATTAGTGGGGGTGTAATTTCCTCTTTTATTTATGTTGAGTTGTAGTGGGCTAAATACTAGTAATAGGATATATGTGTAAATTCAGAAGCTCACATCAATTATATTTGAAAGGAAAACTTGTGGAGTGATTTCATAGGTGAAAACGTTGGGTTACTAACTCGGGTGGGTTCTGACACCAAGGTTCCTTTGTTTTGGGCAAGCCTGATATTAAGTGAATATTAGATGAGTCGGTTAATTGTTGCATTTCTCACGTTTTTAGAGTAGCGAATCATGTGGCGTATGCTATTGCTTCTTTTTCTTCTTTTCACACCTCCCACTTTGTTTGGGAAAAAGGTGATTTTCCTTCATGGATGAGGACTTGAATTAATAAATCATGTTACTTGCTGTCAAAAAAAAAAAGGAAAAATACAAAGATAGAAAACAATAAAGAAAAAGTAAATTGCTAAACATCGCCCTTTTTACTATCTACCGCTCTTCTTGGACCATTTTGCCCCTTAAGTTTTCCAAAACACTCGAAAATTGCGCGGCATACCGACAATTGCAGCCATGCATGGTGGCGGTTAACCGGCGATTGCAGTCGTGCACGGTTGTGGCCAACCGGCAATTGCGGGCGCACACGGTTGCGGTCCGGCCGGAGATTGCAATCGTGCACGGTTGTGGCCGGTCGGCGGGAGAGTAATTTTTTTATTTTTTACTTACGCAACGATGAGATTAAGCTCGTTCAGGGTAGTAAAATTGCTGACACAACAGTGAGTAACGTTCGTCGGCTTAAGAGCCGTCAACACATTGTTCCATATACTTATTTTTCTTCTACTGTGAATGGAGCTCTGATATCTCAGCCAAGTGAAAGAAAAAAAGAAAAAAACTCTAGACTCCACACGGCGAGATGTGTCTACAAGGGCCGCGCTGCGGATTCTTCAATTAACAAAGCAGAGATAGCAGACGACGCATTCACTCCGGATAGGAACCAACCAATTAATTAATAAACGTAATTCAACTAGGTCTCACAAGTTAATGGGCTTTCGAAATTAGGCCATTCACTCAAGGACCATCCTAATTTCGGAACCCATTAATTTGCGAGACCTAGTTGAATTACATTTATTAATTAATTGGTTGGTTCCTATCCGGAGTGAATGCATCGTCTTCTATCTCTGCTCTGTTCATTGAAGATTTCGCGGCCGGCCGTTTGTAGATACATCTCGTCGTGTGGAGTCTAGGTTTTTTTTTCACTTGGCTGAGATATTCAGAGCTCCATTCACAGTCGAAGAAAATGGGTATATGGAACCACTACAAGAAATCCGCCAAAAAAAAATTGTCACCATATATTGCCTTATGATGAAGAATTTAAAAAATCGTCATAACATCATTTCATACGATGACGACTATTACATTAGTCATCTTATAATTTATTTTTCGTCACATAATCGTACTTTTCATGAAAATACATCTCAATTCGTCACCTACACATCTAAATTCGTCACATTTACATAAAATGTGACGAAATTCCATGTGACAAAAAGAATGTCGTCATTATTGTTGGCATTTGAAAATGACACTTACGACTAATTCGTCATTATATAATAATTTATTATTACGATACATTATAATACATCAAAATTCGTCACATTAATACATATTATGACGAAATTCAATGTGCCGAAAAATATCGTTATATTTTCTTTGTATTTAATATGACGCTTATGAAAAACCCGTCATTATATAATTTTGTTTTGTGACGATAAATTGTAATTCAACAAAATTCGTTGCCTTAATATAAAATCGTTGTTCTTTTTTCTATTTAATATGACGCGTACGGAAATTTCGTCATTGTATAATTTTGTTTTGTGACGATGAATTATAATTCATCTAAATTCGTCAATTAATATATATTATGACGAAATTCACTGCGACGAAGAAAATTTGTTGTCATTTTTTTTTATTAAAATGACGCTTACGAGTAATTCGTCATTATATACTTGTGTCTTGTAACGGTACATTACAATACATCTAAATTCGTCACATTAATAAATCAGCATGTTGTTCCTCGACTCATCATTTTTTATTAAGTTTTTTTTTTTTCGCAATTTTGAGTTTCAATTTTCAATAGGTTGAAATTTTAAGGAAAAAATGGAAATCGATTGTTGACCTATAATTCAAAGTTTATTTCTATGTGTGTTCTGTTATTGTCTCACTGTTTTATGTGTCAGTTTTAGTTGATTACAAATCGGCAAAAATCGATTGTTCACCAATGCTTGTATTTTTTAGGTACTTCTCTGTACAAGTCAAAAGTCGTATCTTGAATACATTTGTTGTTAAGTGTGATTATTTTATAACAATTTTATCTTATGAAGAATGTAACGACTTTAACATATTTTTGTGTTTTCTTCATTTTCTATAAGACCATTTTAGTAATACTAACATACCATCCAATAACAACATCTTTCTCTAATTTAATTGTCCACAGGAGATTCAATTAAACAACTTGGATATGAAGGAGGCAAACATCTCTTCTTTACCCTCACGATAAAATGGGCAGAGTAAATCAGTCTTTCGTATTAAAATCTCCGTATGGCCTAACACGTCACTCAAGGACCATCCTAATTTCGAAAGCCCATTAACTTGCGATACCTAGTTGATCTACATATATTCCTATCCGGAGTGAACGCGTCGTCTGTTATCTCTGCTCTGTTCATTGAAGATTCTGCGGCTTGCCGTTTGTAGACATATCTTGCCGTGTAGAGTCCAGGATTTTTTCTTTTTTCACTTGACTGAGATATTCAGAACTCCATTCACAGTTGAAGAAAAATGGGTATATGGAACTATGCGTTGACGACTCTTAAGCCGACGAACGTTACTCACTATTGTGTCGACAATTTCACTGCCCCGAACGAGCTCAATCTCATAAATGTGTAAGTAAAAAGTAAAAGAAAAATAAATCTTCCGCCGACCGGCTGGCGAAACCGATCGCAACCGTGCACGTCTGCAATCGTCAGCGAGCCACAATTTCCGGTTGGCTGCAACCGTGCACGGCTGCAATTGCCAGTAGGCCGTGCAATTTATTTTTTTCTTAGTGTTTTGGAAAACTTAAGGGGCAAAACAGTCCAAGGGGTGTGGTATGCAGTAAAAGGGAGGGCGGTGTTTAGCAATTCACTTTTCCTTTTTCGTTTTTCATTTTTGTATTTTCCTTTTAAATACAAATGATGTGGGATTTATTTAAGTCTATGAAATCGGACGGCCCATCGTTCGAAAATTAATATGTATCCTTCTATCCTTTGCCATTTTTCTTTTTGATCTGGTTTCAAATTTTTCATCCAATTATCCCTCCTGATTTTTTTGTTTGCGTGAAAAAAAAAAAGAAATTTGATAAAATTTTCCATATCCGAATTTCCAATGCGGGAGTAACATCAATCGCGATTTTTGTTGTTCTTATGTTTTTTTTTTAAATTTGTTTAATGGACACAAATAAAAAAAAGAAATAGGCGGTGAATGACATGTTTGTTTGTTAGTTGTCATCTATTTTCCAAAAATTATGTGAAAACCGATAAAAATTTAACATGTTGTTCCTCGGCTCATCATTTTTATTAAGTTTTTTTTCGCAATTTTGAGGTTCAATTTACAATAGGTTGAAATTTTAGGGAAAAAAAATGGAAATCGATTGTTGACCTACAATTCAAAGTTTATTTCTATGTTTGTTCTGTTATTATCTCACTGTTTTATGTGTCAATTTTTGTTGATTACAAATCAACAAAAATCGGTTGTTCACCAATGCTTGTATTTTTAAAGTACAGCTCTATATAAGTCAAAAGTCGTATCTTGAGGACATTTGTTGTTAATTATGATTATTCTATTAAAACAATTTTATCTTAAGAAGAATGTAACGACTTTAATATATTTTTGTGTTTTTCTTCATTTTCCATAAGCCTGTTTTAGTAATACCAACATACCATCTAATAACATCTTTCTCTACTAAATATAATATAACAAAAATTACTATTTACTAAAAACAGTAAGCAAAAAAATCTGGAAAT